GGTATGTCTCTCCGCTCTGACTACTATACAGGTAGACCAAGGAGTAAATGATTAGCAAAGGATTACATCTGTTCTTCGACAGTTCGGACAAACTAGGACTTACTGAAGGAAGCTCCATGCTGTACTATATATGGACTTTGACTATGACTATTTAGCAGAGTACATTGAGCCGTTTGTGTTTCTTGGTCCTTGTCCACGAAGAATGCCGTTCACGGTTTGGGAACAAGTTTGGTGATACGCAGAGACCACTCTGTGCTCAGTAGGCGACCTTGGCCTATGCACCAAACGGTCTCTGAATAGTGCAGGGTACATTGTATCAAGGGAGACAGCATAATCCACGCGTCGCTGAACTGGGCTACCATGTCTAGGAGACATCTGAAAGAGGGACTTATGCTGCACATAATCCTCATCTTCCTCAATCTTGATGGCAATCTTCTCGTCATCCTCTCCAATTTCGTCTTTTGTAATTGGATCATTATCCCACACCACTTGGAAACCACTTGGCTTGGGTGAAGTGTGACCCCAAGGGCGACTGAGCTCGTCTAAGCTGTCAGAATACCTGTTCTATCGTCTCAGGTGCTCCTGAGTACTCATTGGTTCATATGTGCGAGAATTGTGTCCTAGAAGACTAGTTGATTGGGCAATGCGCGATCTACTAGTTGATCCAAAGACATCATCTCTTCGAGTAAACTTGTCTACAGGACGAGGTCTGTACATGTAGAATTTGCTGGTATTTGTTGGTATTTATTGGATATGAAATTTGCAGTTGAGTGTGTTGTCTGATCGTTTATGTCGACCTGAAGGCTTTTACTGAGTACTTACTGAGTAGATCTTGATCGCCGTGAGTTCTAACTATCTAGTGGCGTTCTAGTAGTCTCAGTCTGGCTGCTGAGTGTGAACTGATTCAGAGATACTGTTGATCTGGTACAGAGAATAATCGTAAAAATAACCTTGTTCGTCCAGGACAGTTTCCAAAGGTCTTATATACCTATTCAAAGAGGCGGTGTTACTGCCCCCGCAGTTCCGCAGCCTACAAGTCATGGACTGTGCCCGCAGTTAGAGTACTGCAAGCGCAGCTACATTACTACGTTAAAGTGAGATCATATGTAGTGCTTACTGAGCATAATGAAGCATATATGGTGACTAGGCTGCCGCAGCACAATTCTTACCTAGCCACCTTGAAGAGGGTGTCAATCATGAAGCATAGAGGGTGATGGGAGCAAGGGGAATGGAGGCGGGTCTAAAGAATAGTCAAAGTATCCATTCGTGTATCATTTGGACTCAGCCAAAACCTCTACGGCCAATCGAATTGGACTGGAGAGAGGTTTCTGGAGAGAGGTTTCTGGACATTATTCAGGCATAGCGGTGTTTATTTTGGCATAATTGACCATCTTCCAGTGTAATTATTCATTGAAATCCAAAAGCTTATGAAACGTATTGCTTTATGGCTTGAACAGATTCGCGTAACAAGAGACATTACAATATAGGGGAGAGAGAACAAGAGGCTAGATGTGGGGAAAGAAGTCTGACCACTCGACGTCTCGATATGCCTCGAGTGGGAGCGTGGCAAGCGTCACTAATGCCAGGACAATCGTTATTCCTCGTCCAGCAAGGTATAAGAGCGGTAATAAAAAAAGGGAGTACCAGATCAAATCACCCATGGTTTTGGACAGCACGTTGCGAATGAGTTGCGCAAAGACGAGGACTACGATTGCTGCAGGCGGGGCTGCAGTCATGACAATCGTCGCGAATCGCCAGAGAAATTGCATATGATGGGATGGCATGGGTGATGACCATGCAAGAAAGTGGACAGTACCAAACACCATCCCAACAATGATCGTGGTCAACATACCGGAAGTATCGCTGAAAGTCCAGAGATCACTGATGTAACCAGAGTGAAACATTGGAATTCGTTTCATACTCCGCAGATCAGTGAGCTCTCCCTGGGTGCCCGTGACATACGCAAACGCCAAACCCCAGAAGTCGGCGATTTCCATATCCGTCTTCAGCTCCTCTTGCTCATTTGTACGTGGTGGGAGTGCTTGATATACACGTATAGGGAACTTCACTCGGTATGGCTTGTCCCACCATGCAATGTACATTGCCACAGTGAGTAGAGTATATCCAAGCGTAATGACCTCGAGCTCTGTGAGTGGTAGTTCACTGGCTTTTCGCGCAATACACTGAGAGATGAACCAGAGTGTTTGGGCAATGACAAGAAACTTGGCCAATCCATCGCTCTTGCACTTGTCGTCCAGCTCGGCCGGAGTAGGTAGGACGAGTTTGCCAACCTCAATGAGACGACAGACATCAAATTCATCCAGAGGATGAATAGGTTTGCCGAACGCTTCAACTCGATTGGCCCCTGTTGTACTCCAGGCAACTTCTGCTTCTATACCTGATTTATTGGGCAATAGGCGAGCCATCTCACTGTTCCTCTCACCCATTTCATTTGTAGGCAAGGTAGGGTCTCGTTCAAAGAGGTGGAAGCCGCCCATTAGGATGAAGAAGCCGTGCTGACGAGTGACCTCTAAACAAGTAGGTTAGTATCAAACACAAGAATCTTTCTATATCTTACCAGTCTTCTCATCCTGCAGCTTACGAATACTTTTGGCTAGTTTAGTGGCTTTGGTGAACTGGAGAACGGCTATTCCCAGCACCCATTCGGGGAACACCAGCGTCACGAACATGGGGACCACGGTGCATCTCACAAATGATTTTATCCAGATCTTGAACCGGGCTATGTAACTCAAACCTCTGGTGTCTACGGGCTCGGGGACGTTGAGATGAAGGGCCACCCAAATGCATAAGAAGATCGTGGTGAGACAGCTCAAGACGATCCCAGGCAGACTTCTGTACTGATTAGCGCATGATGGCAGACATTCTGTCGTATTTGATGCGAGATTTTGAGCGGCGCGGCTTGAGAGCGTGTAAACGGCGACTGCAAGAGCCATGACAAGAATGAGGGACCCAGCTTCTCCAGGGTACTCTACATATATTTGTAAAATTCGTATCTAACCGAAATCTGTAAGCTGGCATGCACGTGCCTGCTGGCCCGTAGAGTGGCCGGTTAACAACGAATCAAAAACAACATTATGGTAGCCTTTATATAACTTCAAAATTATTATCAACTCGAAATCTGTAAGCTGGCATGCCCGTGTCTACTGGCCCCTAAAGCTACCACATCAGTGGCTGGTCAACAACGAATCAATTTGTACTCCTGATGACGACCGCGACAGGGATCGCAGTAGACCCTGACGGACAAGTACCGTCAGATACAAAGCTGTACCTGCGAGCTAGTCCGCTCGCTACATGTGGAATACAAGCCCTAGCCATGGGTATTTGAGAAAAACTGTATTTAGTAGATGTTGTAGTACTCGCCATGTCCGTCCCGCCTGTGCTGTACTACATATAAAGAACGGTACCCCCATGAACAGTAGGTCGCACCGTGAGCTGCCCTCTAAAATCTCAGAAATAATCCCAAGATGTAATATAACCTTTAGTTGAACAATAAGCACCTCTGCGGCACTCTCTGTGGCCGCCAAGGGTTCAAAACTATACACAGGCTACCGTCGTCTTGAGCACGGGACAGGTCCGAGAGCTACGTAGATTTTGTGTACTACATCCATCTCAGTCCCACGTGTCATGCAGGGCTATGCCGCAAAGCACCAAAAGCTACGTAGACTTTGTGTACTACATCCATCCAAGTCCCACGCGTCGTGCAGGGCTACGTGTGGGACTATGCCGCAAAGCGCCGAAAGCTACGTAGATTTCCTGTACTACATCATCCTAGGTCCCACACGTCATACAGGGTGATGCCATGAAGCGCCGAAAGCTACGTAGGTTTCCTGTACTACACCCACAGAGCTCACACGCGCTGTACACCATTGTATGTGCCAAGTGCCGTGCAGGGCTTCGTTGCTTGATGACTAACCTAGAAAGGATATTCAGGAGAAACCAAAGCGAAAATACGCGATTGGGTACCCTTATACACAGCAAAAAGGATAGAAACAACACCGAGTAGTGCTGCGTCGGATAGATCAGACTATAGGCATAGGCATTGGCAAAGCCATCTGGCGAGAATCCGAGGGCGTGGACCAAGCGTTCGCAGCCCTCCAATGAGACCTACGTAGATTGTTTGTACTACATCTATCTAGGTCCCACATGTCATATGCCGCCCCATGTCCCACGTGCTGTGAGGGCTTCGTCGCTTAGCGATTAGCCTAGTAAGGATACTCAGGGGAACCTGAAGCGAAATGCGTGAATATATGCTCTTATGCACGTCGAAAAGAATGTAGACAATATTGATGAGCAGTCCTGCGTCAGACAGGTAGGACTGGGATATATTCACTTAATTGTGCAAGAGGGGTCGGTCGGACAGATGGCGAAGGAATCGAGCGGCTATGGAGTGGGCATAATCATCTCTCAGGAAGTACGTCAAAGATGACTTACGGAAACCGGCTCGATACTCTCAACCATCACCTACTTGACTGGAACATGCGCAAGATTCGCCGTATGGGTAAGATGGAGAATTTAGCACGCAAATGCTCATACGCGGTCTAGGTCCTGATCTCCATCAACGACTTATGAAAGCACGAAATCAAGTACGGCTGCATTCATCCAACTATGACAAGTTTGCAGATGCATTAGATCCGGTATAAGTTCAGGTATGGACTTATCTAAGTCATAGCTATATAGTTCTAACTATCTAGAGGCATGGGTTGATCTTGAAGAGAACTATATTCCCTCCGTTGGCCAACAAAGCGTCTACAAGGCGGCTGCTGGAAAAGGTAGGCCCTATTGTAATCCAAAGTCAGCTTAAACTAATCGAGCTATTAGAGGCAACCAGAGAAGACATTATTGCGACCATCACTCACAGTGAGATGGGGGACAGTGCCCAGCCACCACTGCCAAACTTGTCTATCCATGTTCTGTGGATGAACAAAGGACTAGATATTCAGCGGGAACAGTAAGCGCCACATACCACTTTGATGATACTTGATGCTCGAATGTAGGCGGCGATTACAACTGCGAAGCCAAAAGATCAACAGTGGGGCCATGGAAATAGATCACGACAGGTTGCGGAATTCACGCCAAGCTCTCTGGATGCGAATAAATGCATGGCGCACACAGGCTCCCGAAGAGGTCCCACAGGTTGACGAAGAAGCTGACTTCGCCCATTGCGACAGCAATCCGGAGGATGAAGAACTCATTCTTCCGTCTTCACTCGAAATAGAGTGCAGACCCAAGGATTTCACAAGCGTAGAGATCGAGCTTCGAAAAGGACAGGCCAACCAATCCCTCCAAACTCTTCGGCGGCTACTCTCCCAACAGCTCGTCCTGCGTCGAGAGGTACGAGTAAGCATTCGGGGACAGCACGCGGCAACTCGTGCAAATGGGCTCTTCGACAGAATTGGATCTCAGATAAAGGAATCGGCTAATCTTTATCGCTGCGCTCTTTCGGCCATGCATACGCTTGGCATGGATTCCAGATTGCTCGACCTTTACCGTGTTAGTTTACACTAGTGTACATTGGATATTGTCTGTACATTTCACCCGTAACGTAGCTGTCCAGATTGGACGATGCGTCGCTGGTGGCAGTGGTCCCTCACTTGATTAATCTACGACCGTTGTGGGGTGAGACCACCGACTCTTTCATACGACCGTTTCTGACGCCCTACGCTAGTTAATCAGACGTTGTCTATTAGGTAGTGTATTGATTCGGTTAATCTACGACCGTTGTGGGTTAATCAGACGTTGTCTATTAGGTGGCGAATAATACTTAGCTGGGGCGAGCGTGTTCACCAGTCTAAACCCGCTTATTGACGGAGGGTATCGACGTGGGAGGGTACAGGAATGTCTCTGCTAGTTAAGGCATGTACATAGAGTCTTATATAGCAAGGGTCAACATTGGAACGAGGAAAGAGCGATGGGAAACGAAGCATGTGCTAAGGCCGTCGCTATGAGGGTATATGCAATAGAGGCTATGAAGAGAAGGGTGAAGAATGTGATGTGGAAGGGGCAACGAGTGTCACGGGTGCGGTTATGATGTGTGTGACAAGGAGAAATCCTCGAAACCTTACAGGAAACAATGACAAGTGCGTTCAGAATGGGGACGGAATAGGATACAAAGTTGTAGGAGGGATGTAAAATGATAATTCTATGTGATTCGCGTCGTTTTCTCCGACTGGACGAGATCTCCCCGGCGATTCCTGAGCGAGAGCGAACTCTGGACAATTAGTGATCTCCAGAGCGACCTACTGCGTCAGCGATGTGAAGAGCAAGCTGTACAGCTGCGAAGGCAAGTTTACTTTGCAAAACTGAGGCAAAAGGCTAAAAGCCACCGACGTGGTTTACTGGGAAAAAGGTTTTTTTCCATGGCTGGCGACCAATTAGTCACATAGCACTATGTAAATGTGGTAGAAAAAATGGTGAAAGATATCAGATGTGCGAAGGTATGAGAAATACCCTTATAAAACTACTAGTGGTGCACCGCCTCCTTTGCCAGTTTGCGCGTCACATTTGCCTCGTCTCTAGTTGCCTTGCTGATACACAATCGGGCTTCTTTGAATAGCCTAGTATGCAAATTCGATTTTACTTCGAATTATGAACATCATTTTAGACTCGCCTCAATTTCCTTAGAATTCCTCTAGATTTCACCTGTATATTCCACCTCAGCTGGAGATGACTAGGAAGAATATGCTTGTCAGCAGTCCTAGTCACTCACTATGACTCAGTTTGGTTGATAGTTATGACTAGGAGCCGGGCCTGAGTCAGAGGTGAACTGAGCCAGGTTGGCTGGATGACAGACCAGAGTCTATAGAATCGAGTCAGTAGCTTCATAAGACTCTGAATCGATGACTAGGAAGCACGGTCACATCTGAAAGGTATAAAAGGCGCTGTAGATAGTCTCCCCTTTGAACAAGATTATTTTTAGAATTATTCCCTCTGTAAGATCGGCAGTATCTCTACCTAAGTTCACACTCAGCAGTCAAACTGAGACTACTAGTACGCCAACTAGATAGTTTAAACTGACCTAGCGATCAGAATCTTCATAGTGAGTACTCAGAATAGTCTTCTAGCTGACCGCGTTGTGCACCCTTAGTTACCAAGTATTATACTTGCGTAAATTCATTATTAAATACGTAAATCAGTATGAGCTCTCTCAGATCACGGAAACACCCTTGGGAAAAGGAGAATCGCTCCAAGAGTCATAGTAGAATTAATCTGGGAAGTTCTTCGATGTATGCAGGTCGCTCTTATGAGCCTCTTAGTGATCCTGAACGCACTAAGCCTTGGGATAAATATGCATCTGACCTAGATGCATTTATTCATGATCCTAATGAGCCTCCTCGCGCTTCACCTCTCAGGATTAAGTTTGACAGTACATTATATGAGGATGAGGACGATTATGAAGAGGATTATGACTCTACAGCCATCAAAATAGAAGAGGCTGAGGAGCCTGACACTTTGGCTCGTTTCAGGTCCTTCTCAAGGTCTCATGGTTCACCTCATGAGCTTGACCCTCAAGCCAAACAAGTGTATCCCAGTTTATCTAAATATACATTTATTCAGAGACCAAGTTCACCTAAGGCTCTACAATCTGTATCTGATAACACGGATAGTCATGTCAGCTATAAGGCGTGCCAAGTCGGGGCAAAGAGCCTTTCTAAAGTGACTTTCGTCCCCAACCAGCTCGTTTGAGCAGAATCAAGGTCTCTTCACTGTATCATCCCCTTGTTACAGTGGCAAACCAAGCCGCATTGTATCTGAGATACAGTGGGCTCCAAAACTGTTCCAATGTTGGTCACAGGTGGCTTGTCGGCCCGATTACTCAATAAGGGCCTATACTAAACTCATGAAATCTTTATGATAGATAGATTAGCTTCTTATCCCATATCTCCATGATCTCTGAATCATATTCTCAGGCACTCCGCAGGAGCGGCAAGACTAATCAGATTTTATTGTCCCCACTGGGCAATAATACCATTTTGTTGGAAGTGCAAGCACGGCTGACACGAAGAGTCAGCGGAGCCAGGCTCTCCGCAGGCTAATCACTATAGCCTCATAGTTTATCCTAGTTAGTCATCATCAGCTCGAGCATGTATATAAGGAGCTATGAGCTGCGTCTCGATCTAATATATAGAACTTATCTCGCCACTCTCATTCGTCTACCAGGACTCACCGCCTGAAGAGTCTCTGCGTATATATTCGCTCTACATAATCTGTACACACATAGTATTCTACACATTTATATCCTAGTCTGATACATTTACTCATAACTATGAGCTTGTTCGAACTTTGGTCCACATTGTCCCACACTGGAAATTAGTGAAATCGAGTTTGGTTGCTCTAAGGTGACTTGAAGTGGGTATAGTCAGAACAAGGCATGGGTGCTTCAGTCCATAACGATTATTAGGTGGTACCCAGAAGAGGTATTGACCAGAAGACTGCACCCATCCATCAGGCAGCAAAGAACAATCACCAAATCCAGGTATAACGAGAACTGGATCAGTGGAAAGAGACTTGATATGGCCAGAGAGACGTGTTCTATTTTGTAGATTACCTACATTTAGCATACGGTCAGTCGCCATAACAAACTGATGCTACAAACCAAAGAGACATTCAGAATCAACTCACCGTTGTCCAAGCTCGAGATTTGAATTGTCCTACCAATGGAGCCAGAGACAACTTGTGTGCCATCTGGTGAGAATGCGAGAGCATTGACTGAGCCTTCATGACCTCGGAGGGGCTCTCCTATTGGCTGGCCAGTCTCTGCATCCCACTGTTGAATTGTCTTGTCCCAAGAGCCAGAAACGATTCGCGTGCCATCTGGAGAGCACGCAACAGCGTTGACTGAGGATTCATGACCTCGGAGGGGCTCTCCCACTGGCTGGCCAGTCTCTGCATCCCACTGTCGAATTGTCCTGTCCCAAGAGCCAGAGACGATTCGCGTGCCATCTGGTGAGAATGCGACAGCGTTGACTGAGGATTCATGACCTCGGAGGGGCTCTCCCATTGGCTGGCCAGTCTCTGCGTCCCACTGTTGAATTGTCTTGTCCCAAGAGCCAGAGACGATTCGCGTGCCATCTGGAGAGCATGCAACAGCGCTGACTGAGTCTTCATGACCTCGGAGGGGCTCTCCCACTGGCTGGCCAGTCTCTGCATCCCACTGTCGAATTGTCTTATCGTCAGAGCCAGAGACGATTCGCGTGCCATCTGGTGAGAATGCGACAGCGTTGACTGAGCCTTCATGACCTCGGAGGGGCTCTCCCACTGGCTGGCCAGTCTCTGCATCCCACTGTCGAATTGTCTTGTCGTCAGAGCCAGAGATGATTCGCGTGCCATCTGGTGAGAATGCGACAGCGTTGACTGAGGATTCATGACCTCGGAGGGGCTCTCCCATTGGCTGGCCAGTCTCTGCGTCCCACTGTTGAATTGTCTTGTCCCCAGAGCCAGACACGATTCTCATGCCATCTGGAGAGAATGCAACCGCTGTGACACCATTCTGATGACCTAACAGCGTTCTGGGAAGCCCAGGAAATGTTTCTTCAACCCCTCTGGTCACTATTAATGAGTTCATGTGCTCGTTTAAACCCTCCGTACGTAGTAACGACTTCAGTGGAGTGAATGGGAGCGCTGTGATGTAGATATGCGGCGCGCTGTCTTGGATTGGCACAGCAAATGCCATCAAGAACCGTCTGATGTCATTCATCCGGTCTCTAACCTCTTCCTCGAGCTATTCATTGCTTTAGCAATCGGACGGTTTCAGATAGACCACTCACACTCTTATGTTGCCACGCAGCTCGCAGTCCAGATACTGCCTGCATCACTCCTCCAGTCACGCTCAAGATCTCCATCCAATAGAGAGCGAATGGACTCTTGACTATATGCGCCAGCTCATTCCTTAGCTTGCGTACCCAGTCACTGTCCATTGCGGCCACATGGAACGACCAATGCAAACTAGCATAGCGAAGCCTCCGCGAAATGAATTTCGCCACCCGGGCGTCAAGGTCTGTAATCTGCCTATTCAGATAGAAGGATGACTCGATTTGGCAAATATTAAACTTGAGCCCCTCCTTGCGCGATTTGAGAGTGTGAAGACACCATGATGCTGCTTGGCCATGTGCACGGGCAGTATCAATAGCTATTCCATTGCCGCTTTCTTTATTTCCGGTGATGCAACATCGCCGAAGGTATTCGACAAAGGTGGGATGGCGAAACTGGACCAAGTGCGCGATTGGGTCCTCCTTGAGTACACTTCCTAGAACTCGTACCAGCGCATTGGCACTCCCTCGTCCTTTGGTATGCTTGATAAGATCGTCCAAGTCGTCGCTAGTAAGCGGCTCGCGTGCAGAAAGCAGTATACCGAGCATTTCAACGATGACTGGTTGGGACTCTTGCTCAATCCGCTCGAAAATCACGTCGTATAGACCGTCGATGGCACCAGGCTCATCGATGGACATCAGGCGATCATATATGACCTCGGTATTGATCACCGATAACTTGTTGTCGAGCATCCGGCACGCAGTGCTTGCCCAAATAAATAGCCCGTCGGCCTTATTGACCAGTCGCTGCCTCTTATCATAGGCTAGCAGACTGCCGAGCGATCGATGGACATAAGTCCCAATGTCATCGATATTATCACGATGGATTGTATCGTGGAGGCGGTCTGTCAACTTGGATTTGATCGAAAGAGGTTGTAACACTGTTTCGATGACAGGGTCTGGCCGGCTTGTGATGAATATCCGAAGATTCTTACTCTCAGAAGCGGCAGAAGCGAGAGTCTCAACCACTTCCCTTCTCTGTGGTCCTGACTTTCATTCGTCGAGTGCGTCTAAGACGAGAACTACTCGCATCTGTAGATGCTAGAGGGGACCGGTGATGAGCATTCGGAACTGCTGATCAAACGAAGCTCGCAGGAGAGCGGAATTCCGTTTTATGACCTCGGCAATCGATGTCCCAAGCTCAGGAATATGTTGAGCGAGTTCCCTCGCTATGGTCGAGCAAAACCTTTCGGTGTTTGAGGCTTCGCTGCTTGCCATGGAGAAGAAGAATCCGCCACCTAAGATTCCCTGCTTCTTCCACTTTTCCATCACAGTCATCGCGACGGTCGATTTTCCAGAGCCAGCTATATCACATAGCCAGAATATCGGTTTTTCTGATGAATCGCCATCGGCCCATTGCGAGATTGTCTCGAGGACAACCTGGCGAGTTCCTTGTAGACAGGTGGTATGGACCGAAGATGGGGCGAAGGCGACTATTGGCATCTGAGATATGAAAACCGCATCGTCTTGAAAATATGAGTAAACCTTCGTGTACACGAGGTAGTTCATACCTGGTTGAGGGATGGTTCCTCCCTTCACGACGGCTACTCGTGGGTCAGGAATGAATCAGCGATGAGTATGTTACGAACTGCGCAAGCTATTCTCCATAAACCATTTTTTGTGCACAGCATCGGGGGCGTTCTCAGCGCACTCCGTGAGATAGTAAGCAACTGCTTGGTAATCTTCGCTCTCTTCCGTCTGGAATCTGACAAGGTTCTGGTGATCGCTATGGAGTACGATCGCAATAGCGTTTTGATCGCCAGCGATCACCGCCGAGTGATACGGAACATTCTATAATCCAGTTAACACCCATCCATCAGACGATTCAGTGCACCTACCAGATGTATCTGCTGTTCTTCGGCTCCGGTGCTGTATTCCTCGCAGAAGAAGACGCTGTTTATCTTTTTACTCGCGGTGAGATACAAGCTCTGGATGTTTTCGAGTTCATCCGAGTGAGCGTGAAGGTTCTTGGCAATGACTTCTGTCGATTCCATACATGGTGCTGCCAGGCGAACGATCTTCTTAAGGAGCGTTTCTTCTACGCCGGAATGCGGGGTTCCAAAGAAGAGGATGGAATGGGTGGATACCACGATATTTCGTAGGCCGTCTTTTGATTCCAGGTCCTCATTGTTGCATATGACAAGCGCCTATGAGACCGTCAGGGTCAAAATGTAGTGGACATCCTCGGACGAACCCATTTGAGAATGATGCCTCCCAAATCGTGAGCAACAAAGATGATGGGGCGCTAGGGTGATTAGGGAAGAAGGCACCGGTTTACGGATGCCACTCACTCGAGGAGCATCTTTACGCTTCCGTAAATAGAGCCAGACCGACGGCGTGGCGGCGCATAGTCTGGGTCGATACGCACTCCGTACTGTGAGTGTCGGCGTCGTAGCCATAGGTCAGGATACGGGCACGAGGCAATGAGGACGGCAAGAATTGGCGTAGCCAAAGAACGCCATCGTCTGTCATCCAAGTCTTTTCTCTGTGACCATTCAAGCCGTGGATTGCTATGATACTGGAGTGGGGAGGTCAGCACGAAGCGACTACAGCGCCCCGAATGTGCTTACTCGACGGTGGGATCCTCTGGGCATACCAATTCCAGGAATCCAAGGTCTTCCTTCTTGGGTTTGGATGTAGAGGATTTCAATGTTCTAGGATGTTCACTTGCAGCAGTCCGATCGTTCACTCGTTGCCAAAGTCGGGCAACATAATTTAGGCCTCGTGGAAATGGCCGTGCTTTGCCTTGCTCTTGTGACATTGTGCGCTCTTGAGTTGTTCGAAGAGTCGATAGTATTGTCTGAACGGGCCTTAGGACGCGCTGTAGGGGTCTTACGGTCCTAGAGGTGTCGGGGAGCAAGCCTCATTGCTTCCAGACGAACCAGCCGGATGACCGGTCAGTAGACTGATATGAATCGTCCAATCGCAGTTCGATTCGATAGACGCGAGAGTCTGATTGGTGTGTGACTTTGTATTCGGATAAGATGGCATCCCAGAATAGCGGTACTAAACACGTCCACCAGCATGTGAGTACTCGCTGGGATTTGGCAATATATGGCCAAAACGAGTTGACCTTTGTTTGACCGAGTGTTCGTGCCGACCGCGACTCTGTAGTCTGCGGTTCTCGTCCATTGCGCTGCGAGTTGTACCAAATATGTACAAGAAACTCTAGTATAATACAGGTTGATTCCTTTTCTACCGCAACGGTGCCCTGGGAAGCGTCCTTGGTGACTCTTCTACGGCTAGCTGCTCACGATGCGACTCTTTCGCCTTGAAAGTATCAACGGTCGAGGCCTCAGCTCACCTCAAATCGACTCTCACTTCTTTGGCGTCGATCTGTTCCAACGTTGGAGATTTGAGCCCGTCATCTAGCAGCCGCAGTCTAGCTCTATTCGACTCGGAGCGACCTTGGTATCGCTCGTTCAATCATCATGAGTGCGTAGTCTCATTCTACTCGACGCTCGACGTCTCCACGCGTTTTCTGGACTTGCTGGCTAACATATTCGAGGTCGAATATATCGTTTGAGCCAGAGATGAGCTTTATTTAGTACCAAACGTGTATTCTCTAGTCAAGCAGCGCCTTTCGGGGTCAGTCGTTATGCTTGAGAGCGTCCTGGACAAGAATCATGGTCACGATGGGTGGGAAAAGGACGTCAGTTGAACGCTCCAGTAGACATGCGCCTGCAGAGATATGTTTCGCGATAGCCATTGGATCCAGTGCGAACGTCGACGCGCTACTGCGCGCAGTGTCAAGATTCGCAGCGCGGCGGATGCACATCTTTTTTTTTTTTTTTTTTTTTTTTTGTGTTAAGTATTATTGTGCAGTGGCACCGCCAATATAGCACATTGTCTAACTGGAGCCCACTTACTGGGTTACCCTCGGTTTCATTGGCGCGTGCATCTCCTTGAAGGCAGGCAGTTGTCGCTCTCCTCGCCGAGATCTCCCTCTGGGTGTGGCTCTGCTACGCTACTTTTGCTTGCTTTCAATCGCCTTGACTGTCTGTGAAGTTGGTTTGGTTTCGATACGCGTTGTCTCTCTGGTGAGTTGGTTACTCTCTTTCCCTTCCGTTTGTATCCTCCCATCCCATCTTCAACCTCCCCGTCCTCCTGATAAACTTCAACATCTCCTTGATTCCCTCCTTTGTCCCTAGTATCTCCGCTGGTTCTCTTGTCTTCTCACGCAATGCTCCTTCCCATTCGGCTCGCGCTGCATTGTACGCTGGGCAGATGTGGAGGAGATGAGTTATGTTTTCTGCATTTCCCTCTCCACAGTGTGGGCACCACAGTGCATCCGCTCTGTTGATGCGGTTCAGATGCTTGTTCAGTCCGATATGTCCTGTATGTAGCTGAATAAGTGCCGCTGCTTCTGCTCTTGTTAGCTCGTCTGTGATTTGGAGATATTTGTTGGATGGCATTGTCTCGTCGATGGGCCTGGTCCTGTTGTACCATGCTGAAGATTTCCACTTGTCGTGTGCTGACTTCCTTGCTGCAAGTTTGAGTTCCTGTCTGAGTGCCGAGATATTCTGCGGGAGGGTGTCCTTTGTCCATGGTGGGAGTGTTGCTGCTGTGGATGATCCATCTGTGATGGCCTTCTTGGCCTCCTCGTCCGCTGCTTCGTTACCCTCGATCCCTTCATGACCTGGGACCCACGTGAGAGTGATCTGAGTCGATCGATTGATCCTCGTCTCGTCATCGCTCGCCTCTACGAGTTCTTGTCTACGCTTTTGATCGTTGCGCAGTTCGTCTATTGCTCTGTGGATCTTGTGGATGATGTGTTGGCCGGCTTTGGCACTGACGTTCTCCATTCCTTGTATTGCTGCCTGGTTGTCGAGGCTGATCTTGATACGTGGTATGATGATCCTTTCCATCTTGGCTAGCTGGACTCCGAGTGCAATTCCAACGAGTTCTCCTTCGTGTACCGTGTGCTCCGTGTCTTCTCCAAGCAGGAATCTTGCTGACCTTATCCGTACTCCGTCTCTGTAGAGTACTGCACCTGCTCCTATCATGCCTTCCATTCCTGAGCCATCCGTATAAACTACTACCCGCTCGTTGTTGCCGTTGCTGTTGTTGTCCGCCTCTTTCGCTAACATCCTCGACTCCTCTATTGAGATAGTGAATGGGTTAGTGGCATTGGGGTTGCGTGATGCTGGGGTGATGGTTTCAAGGTCGTCTACTTTGGAGTCGATGGAGTGGAAGATGCGATGTAGGGGGGCGTTGTGCCTCTGGAAGAGTCCTCTTGATGCTCGTTTCACGAATTTGGAGAGAGGATGGGTAGCGGGCAGGCTTGCCAGCCGGGCCGCCGCCTTCTGGCATGTGAGGCGTAGAGTTTCTTTGATTGGTAGCATATTGAGGTGCGCATCAAGGGTATCTCCTGCTGTTGTGCGGATAGCGCCTGTGATACCGATGGCGGCTCTACGTTGGACGGCTTGCAGCTTCTTGGTGATGGCTACGGATCCCATCCGGCGTGCGGAGTCTGGCTTGGTGTACAGTGGGGTGTACCAGATGTCTGCGGCGTATGTGATGCGAGGAATGGCAATGGAGTTGAAGAGTTGGCGGCCTGAGCGGATTGGGAGGCCATGGAATGCCCTGTGTATACGCGAGAATAGTGAGGTCCACTTTACTGCCCTTGTGTGCACGAGCTCCTGGTGCTTGTTCCACCGCAGTGACTGGTCGATCACCACTCCAAGTAACTTGCAACTGTCGGTGGGTTGAATCGTTACTGTTGACGTTCTGCCATTGCTGTCCTTTGCCTCGAGGACCAGGGGATGTGAGCCTTTGCGCTTTTCGGATGACATGGTGAAGTCGACAAGCCCGAGTTTGTTGTTCTCGAGTGGTGAGTGGTGCGAACGTGACCAGTCTAGTACGCCTCCTTCACGTTCCATCATGTCCTTCAGTCCGAGGTGCGTGTCGTGGAAGTTCTGGCCAATGGCGATCAGGGTAGAGTCGTCCACAAACCCGAGGGTGAGCTGGTCCTTGCCGTTTGCGATCTCCAGTAGTGGGGCAATGTAGAATAGGTAGAGGATCATCGAGAGTGGGCATCCTTGGCTGTTCCCGTTGGTGATAGCGCGGGGTGCGGAGTGCACCTCGTCGAATTTGAGGCGCGTGGATCTGCCTGTCAGCATGTTCTCGAGAGTCTGCACATACTCCTCTGGGATCCCTTTTGCTCTCATGTTCTGCATGAGGACTGGCTTGACAACATTGGGGAATGCTGCTTGGATGTCGAGAAACAGTGCGCTGGCCACCTTTGACTCCCTCCATGCCTTCTTGATTGTGCTTGTGAGAAGGTGAAGGGCGTCCGTTGTTGTCCTTCCTGGTCGACCACCGAACTGAGAGTGTGGGAGCAGTGCATAGTGCTTGGACATGTAGGTGAGGTCCTCCACCATGAGTGCCGAGAGAAGCTTTCCGAGGGTGTTGAGGAGCGCGATCGGTCGGTACGCTTTGGCTATATTGTACGCTGGCTTCCCTGGCTTTCGTAGGACCACTGTAGTTGATTCCTTCCACTGCTTTGGAATGTGCCGGAGTCGAATGGCCGCATTGAATACATTCTTGAGGATGGGACTGATAGCTGGGAGTGCTTCCTGAATTGCTGCATTTGGGATACCGTCCGGGCCTGGTGCCTTGTCGCGCTTGAGACGTCCAACTGCCTTGCTCACCCTCTTTATCGAGTATGGTGTCCACTGAGGAAGTGCAGTTTGAGGTGCCGGCCTTGGTCTGGGGAGTGCAAGTGCAGGTGGAGGTGGAAAGAATGCGTCGCATAGTAGCTCTGCTTTCTCCTCATTACTTTGCATTAGTGTGCCGTTTGGCTTTTTGAGTGGGGGGATTCTCTCACTACTTCCATCGTTGGCGCCTCGCTTGATGAAGCGGTTGATGTTCCATAGGTCGGTGTCGGATGCCTCGTCGATCCACTTCCACCAGAATGCCTCCTTTCTCCTTTGTACCATCTCCTTCATCTCTTGGCACAGTGCCTTGTAAAACTGATGACTTGGGTGGGCTGGGGATGCTTGCCAGTACCGCAACTCTGTGTATGCTTGGCATTTGCATTTGTGAAGATCCTGACATTGCTTGTTCCACCACGGCTTGCGGAATGTTGGGTCCTTGCTGAGCGGGGTCGTGTCCTTGAGCTTTGTCTGCATGTAACCTGTGAGTAGCTCGACAAGCTGCTCCAGCTCCTCGGGGCGCGTTGGTTCGATTGCCAGTCTTGGGTCGTTCTTGACTGCATCTTCCATGCCTTCCCGGAATTTCTCCCAGTTTGTCCTTCTGTAGTTTGGCCTTGGCGTGATGGCCACTTTCGCAACTGAGAGGTCGATGATGGAGGCGATTGGGATGTGGTCCGTTGTTGTTGGACGAAGGTCTGGCCATGTATTGCACTCTACAAGTCGGTGGACAATATCGTCTGATGCCCACACGTTGTCTGGCCTAGTTTGACTCCCGTTCTCCTCTCGTGTGGGTATTCCGGCTGGTAGGAGTTGCTGCATGCCGTGTTCGATGATCAGGTTGAGTAGCGGAGTGATGGCATCGGTCGAACTGCGTAGGTGACGGTTGTTGTCCCCCTCCCAGGTGTGGTGGTGCCTGTTGAAGTCCCTGAGCCATACTTCGAGCCGGTTGGCCCATGTTGACGTATTGCGCGTTTCGAGGTGTTGGGTGAGCTGGTCCAATGTATCGTTGCTGGTGCCTTTGTTGTAGATGTTGTAGATGGTGCAGAGGCCCGATGCGGTACCCACTCTTATTCCTACAATGTCGCTTGAATCGACGTCTATCTGCATGCACGCACCGACGCGTGTGCTGACTAGCGTTACAGCACGTATTCTGCCGTGGCCTTCGTGAGCCTTGGTGGATGGGTAAAACGACTGCCATTTCCTGTTAGCCCGAGTGTTGCCGAGGGAGTTGAGTGCTGGTTCTTGGATTGCGATAACGTCCCAGTCGTCCGGTGAGGCTGTGTTGATGAATTCGTCGTGGGCGTCAAAGGATTTTCTGAGGTTGATCTGTATGATTCTTAGATAACTGCTTGTTGTGAGTGGGGTGCCGTTGTTCATGCAGAGGGGTCGGTTGGCCGGGCATTACTGGTCGCGATGGATGGCTGGGTTTGAGCAGGGGGGCAGTGAGGATGGTGAAGAGGTCGTTTCTTGCAATGAATCAGGGGTGGTTTGGGTCTTGGGAGTTGGCCCGGGGTGCTGGACACTTCGTGCGGCTTGCATTGGGATGCCGTATTGGGCAAGTGTTATCTGTCAGTTTTTCGTCTGGTTGATCTTTCTGGACTTGTTGGTGACTCCCTGTGAGGCGTTGGCAGCCGCCGTTGTGAGCTGCTTGCCTGCTTGTTCTTGCGAGGTCTCAGTCTCGATCTCTGGGCACAGGTATCCCGAGTTCCATGGGGCATTGATTGACTTGTTATACGTCCATCGGTCCTTGGTGAAGAAGAATTTGGATCTTGTTTCTGGCGCATGTTCCGCTTGCCTGTCCTGTCTGGACTTGCTTTCTATGCACCTTTCGTCCCCGGAGGAGTGTTGGCTGGACCCGCATGGGGTGCATTTGGTCTGCATTTTGTCCGGACAGTCCCAAGAGCTGTGCTCTTGCGCGCAGAATCGGCAGGTGAACCTCTCCGCCGATGTTCTTTTTGCACCTTGACGGAGTGGTTACCAATTCTTGTGGGGCCGAGGATCATGCGGTTGGCTACTTTGGGTGAGGCGCAGTTGATTTTGACATTGGCATATCCTTGTCCTTCGTACCTCCTTGACGGGTCCTTGATCCAGGATGCGGAGATGATTGAGTGTGGTGGTAGGCCGTTCTCCAATTCCACCGAGTGCAGGCTTTCCTCTTCGTGGGGGTCGAAGTCCACAGGGACGAAGCGTACCATCAGCTCGTGCACGCAAGGGATGACTTTCGTTTCTTCTTCTCTCGAGGTGTAAGCCTCCTTTACCATCTCTGCGCACCTGTTATTCTCCTTTAGCCACTTAGCGGATTTTGCAGAGTCCAGCTCCAGGAGCGTCCCGGTGCGTATAATGCGCAAGCCTACTATCCGCTTCTTGCTTGCTCCATCCGTGAGTTTCTCTAGCGCTACGTTGAGTGTGTCCTTGTAAGCGTTGATGTCGTCCCTAGTGTACATTCCTCGTTCCTTTGCGACGGCGCTTGGAGTGTTGAATAGGACTAGTCGTTCCCTAGCGTTGACTATGTTGATTGCTTTGGCGTCGTCGAGGATGAGGGATTGGCTGAGCTTGGTGCATGCATTGCTTGCTAGTGCTTGGCTGTACAGTCGATGAACTGGTGCCGCCTTGAGAGCCGTGACCGCTTTGGAAGCTGAGATGGTGAGTTCGCTGTACTTCAAGCTGACGGTGTCCAGGTGCTTGGTGGTTGACTCGATGGTTTGGCTGAGCTTCAGCTTTGTTGCGTCGACTAGGCTATCGAGTTTTGCAGTAGCTGTCTTGTTGAAGCTTTCGAGGAGAGGGTCCACCGCTGCAGTCTCGAGCACAAAAGAGAAGGCTTTCAGCATGTGTTTCGCTTCTTGACTCACTCCCGCTTTTTCCGCTGCCTGCCGACAGATGTCCGCCATGAGCACAGTTGTGATGGTCGTGTCGTCCTCCAACCATCCTCGCTTCTTCATGTATTTGATCGCTGAATCCCTATCGTGTACTATCTCTTTATCTATTCCTGTCATCTCCGACCTCATTTGGCTTCTTCTCGCTGCTGCGCTCCCTGTCGCTGCCATGCCGGTTGGCCTCCTACTCGAATTGCTCTACTACGTTTGGTATATGCTGGTTCGACCCCTTCGTGTCGTATGATCTAGTTTGGTCGCTGACGCCGCGCAGGTGGTTAGGTCCAGGTCTTTCCCGATGCACATCTCCTCTTGTATGCAGTGGTACGTGTCTGTTCCACTCGTCCAACACAAATGCATGCGCCATCCCCATCCGTAATCTCCTACGCGGTGTTAACGAGGATACATCCCAGGTAGATTGGCGATGGGAGATCTACAAGGCACTCGTTCTGCATTGGCCAGAGTCTTGTTTCCCTCGTCTTCATTCAACCACCCATCATCACCCTGCTGGCACACAGTCTCGGCCCTCGCTCTGCGCTATCGTCCTCCTCCTCTCCATGGTTATACCCATGCACCCAGTCACCACCAGCACGCATACTCCATGTCAGTTGGTTACAACGTCGACGTGCTTCCTCACTATGCTACCCCGTATCCACCAGCCCACCCTCCTAGGTCGAACTCGATGAGCGAGGCGGGTCAATACCAGGCGCCATGCCATACATACGACTATTCTCCTCGATCACCGCTATCTCATTATCCAAACTACTATCCACCGCCCGGAGAACCGCACCCATCTCTTACTATCGCCCGCTCTCAATCGTACAATGGCTCTCCCCAAACGCCTATCAATACCATCCTCCACCTGCGCATCATCCTCCCTATTACCGTGAACCCGCCATCACCCAGTCCGACAGTCCCTCGGAAATGCACATGACGCGTTAAATGCATACCACTTGCCGCACCGCAGGCATACGACCATCCATTTGTATACCAGCTACCGACTCTCACTCCAGCGCCCGCCGATGCAGCGGCAACTCAACAGTCAAAAGGCGGTGTACCACTAGTAGTTGTATAGGGGTATTGTTCATATTTTTTGCACGTCTGATATTTTGCACTTCTACCACATGTACATAGTGCTGTGTGACTAATTGGTCGCCAGCCATGGAATCTTACCTTTTTCCCTGTAAACAACGTCGGTGGCTTTGAGCCCTTTGCCTCAGTTTTGTAAAGTAAACTCGCCTTCGCAGCTGTACAGCTTTCTCTTTGTATCACGGACGCAGTAGGTCGCTCTGGAGATTGCTAATCGTCCAGACTCCACTCTCGCTCAGGAATCGCTGGGGAGGTCTCGTCCACTCAGAGAAAATGACGTGAATCCCAAAGAATTAACATCTGACATCTGGCACCCTTAGTAAGTAGAAATGTCGAAAGACACCGATAGAACCCAGAATTGTAAAGCGAAGGGTAGGCAAGCTTGAACTTTCCCTTCGGCATCGGTACTGAAGTCAAGAAACCGGGGTGAGTAAGCCAAGAAGTTGCAGTCAGCCTGTACAATAAGCTGACAAAGCTCACGGATATGCATTGGGAGCGCAAAGTCAGAGGGGAGGCCAGTGAGCTCGAGCCAGGGAGACAAAGGCTTAGGACAAAAGCTCGACTGGGGCTTTTCTAGTGACCGCCGCAATTTGACGAGGAGCCAAATAGTCGTTGGAAATTGTGCAGACATTTCAACTACTGTGCCTGGTGAAGGCTTGTAAGACCGTTCGCTCCACTTCGTTACGGTCAGGGGATCTACCTTTGGGCAACTCGCCACGCGCAAGCTGGGAAACGACGTTGAATTCATTCGGGCTACACACATTTCGACTGCAGTTAGGGTTATTCTGAAAAAAAAAGTTCGAGTGTTTCCCCGTCAATTGACCAGATTTCAAAGATTTACTTTTTCCCTCAGAGACTCGTGGCGAGCCTAGAAAGGTGTCCATGGCGTCGCTATCGGCTGTAGTCGTTGTCGCAAATTGGGGCACGTCGAGTAAACAGCAGCGTAGCCACTGCCCACGTAGTTGGTCCGTGTTGATCCTGGCGCTGCGGGAGCCGCCGGTAGTCGAGGATTGTCGAGATCGGTCGTAGAGCGCAGATGAGCGGTCGTCGTGCGTCACCATCGTAGGGATGAGCGGTCGTCGTGCGTCACCATCGTAGGTATGAGCGAGCCGTGGGGGGATACAAGCGTCGTCTACAGGTCGAATCAATAACGCCGACCGTCGAAAAAGGGGTGCTTACGGTTTCGACGGTCCGGGATCGTGTTGCGTCGGCCAGCGTGTACTACCTCCAGAGGCAATCGAGAAGAGCCGTTCGAGGTTGCTTTGACGCAGCTGCGGGGCCTAAATAAGCGTCTGTTGGACGTCACCACTGTACGCTACAAAGACGGTCAGCAGCCCGTCTAAAATCAACAATGAGACGTACTCTTCATTGTATGTGATCTTCCATGCGCTCTAGGTGCTAGCAGCTCTCGCGTCGTCCGTCCAAAACGACAACATTCGGTAGGGATGCGTAGATGCGGCGGGTGCCGTCGTGTATGATTGAATTGAGTAACGAGGGTCCGTTTCCTTGAATTCGTGTTGCCGGAAGGCGTGGTTTGGCGAGCACCTTGACGATCCTCTGAAGGCCGGCGGGTGAGGGAGCAGTCAACCACAATGACCCTGGATCTGATTCCTAACAGGCCAGTTAGTACGATGAAACATCTGTGTGGTCTTTTGGGCATACCTTGTACTAAACGTGTTGGTGCTGGGTAACGGGATGTAGGATAAACGAGGGTGATGATAGAGCTGGGAGGAATCGACAAGATGGGTGTTGTTGATAAGAGACTGGCGTCCCTTGAGCGTGTCCTTGCATGATGCCATCATGCTCCTCGCGTCAGGCGGGACCAGACCACCTCCGAGGAAAACGTCTCCCGCTTTTGCTCAAAGATCTGCCCTGGTTTTGTATCGTCGTCGCTTTTGCCACTAGATGAGTTTAAAAAAACCACATATTAGCTCTATTTGTCCGCATGAACGCTCTCCAAAGTACGTACCTCACTGTGGCTTCCTCGTGCGCTCTGGATGACTTTGGATCGATGACTAGACGGGCCAAAATTTGAACGCTGTCCGACTTTTGGTTGCTCCCTTGGCTCTCGAGGCTGCAGACTGTCATCGATGGTTCATATCACACCGAAGGCGCCTATCCGTAGCCCCTCCTTCCGTGTGGGGGGGGGGGGGCACGGGATTGGTCGGAAAATGGTACGAGTATCGTTGCTGTTCCATTGGCTTGCGCGTGTGCTCGCGCTTTATACATTGGGCGTCGATAATTGCGCCAATGCGTGCAATCTACCGCGATTCGAATGAGCCTGGATTAAGAAGAAAAGAATTGTTAGCGAGCTGAAGCCGTCCAAACGCTCGCAACACGCACTCGACATGTGCGCCCTGTCCTCAAAACCAAAGGCTGTGCGTCACGTCAAGGAAGAGTGGTCGAAGCGCGTCTGGGATGCATTCTTTGTGGTTGTGGTGATGCTCGGTGGCAAAAAGATGCAGCGTGGTCGTGGGCGGGGCCAGGTGTTGCAGTTCTACTGGCGTTTGGTTTATCGTCCGTTATGACGGTAAGATCTTTGGTGTGGGTTACAAGTAGTGCTTGCGGAAATGCCTTGAACTTTGCCTCAAGGAGTGTTAAAAGGACCTTTCGGACATGGTCGAATAGCGCGTCGATAGCCTTTCCGTCGTTTTTGGATATTATTTTTGTGCATTCGCATGACTAACAGGATTAAAAAAATTGCATAACATTGGCTCCACGAGCCCCGTATAGCTTCGCTGCTCCGCTCCCGGGCTCAAACATCCTACGCAGTCGTCGCTGGGTCCAAGTCGGTCACCTGGAAAGTCGCCTTGGATATTCGAGCTCTGTATTGATGCCATTGAATCGTGGATGGCGTGATAAGATTGCCAAATCGGATCCAAGGTCAGCGCGCTGGACATGGTCGAGCCCAAAGTTTGCGAGGTGCCGCTTGGACTCGACGCCCACGTTGACGAGCGCGTAATGCCAGCCATGGGCTCGCCAAAGAAGACTATAGACCACCTACGTCTTTCCTGTGGAACCCCTGTCGACAGATTCGCTTCCAGATGTATCCATCAAAATCTATTCTTGCTCGTCGAGAATCCGATCATAATGACAGATGAGTTTGTGACGTTTTCAGTAAACAAGTTCCGCCTGCAAAGGCTCGGCTGATCTGTAAACAACTCGAACAGACCCGCTCTGCGCTTTTCAACAAAATCTCCGTGGGGGCTGTGGCGACACGGTCGCTAATAGTCGACGTATAAATTGGTGGCATCACACTGCTTCTTTCGCTCACTCTGACACGAGTGAACCCAATGAAGAGAACGGCTGCGTGCATTCAGCCGAGTGGCGGAGGTGAATGGTACAGACAAGAATCCGATTAATTAGCAGGTCTTGTGGTGCGAATCAAGGGGTTGTCATTGCATTACTAGTACGTGCCAGTATCTCTCGAAAGGGGTCACCGAATTGTCAACCTGCTAATATGTATGCCATTGTGAAATATATGCTTCAACAGGTTCATTTATTTGCTATTTCTGAACGTCTCCTTTGCCGAGTTTTAGCCTCTTTAGGCGAGAAAGAGTGGCGGCCCATACCAAAGCAGCGTCTCCTTGGTTCGAGCAGAACCAACGAGGGACCAAGGAGTGCAATTCGATGAAATTTAATTGCTTGGAGTATGCAGAAATGCGTCCACGATGACCATCTTCAAAGGAGACGTCTGTCCTCTACTAGTATTCTGAGTCTTGAATACCGCTGGGCGCCCGAGGTGAGGCGGCGTGGATGTCGGATGCGCATAGTATTCCACGTTGAACAGCGAAGCGAAGGCTCGACTATTCGAGGACGACTCTCCAGGTGAACCAGAGACGCGGTCGCATTGTCGTCGCAACTCCGTGAGGAAGGTCTCGATCAGTTGGCTTAACCAGCAAAAGATGCGTGTTGTACACACCCATCATGCAGACCAGAAACCCAATTGGGCGATCCTTATCGTAGGGGTCGCTGCAAAAGGAAGTCATGGAGACGCTGGCTCGGATTGCCACTCTCCGGCCCTGTCGCCAGCTCTAGACGCCAAACTGTTCGGCGGTACTATATAATGCTCGTCAATGACCACTGGCGCTCACTGGAACATTTTCCAGATGGCCACCGAACAATCAACTTCTGCAATGGCATCCCTGTGGGAATGGTATAACTCTATGGATGAGGGCAAATCAAAGATCGATGATCTTGGATTTCGCGAGTTATTCTCAGAAGATAATCCTGTTGTCGAGTACGCAGTCCGCCCGTCATTACAACTTAACCGCTGACGTCGCCGCATCAGCATTGTCGCCATCCACGGCTTGAACGGCCACAGAGAAAAAACGTGGACGTCAGAAGATGGAAAAATGTGGCTGCGCGACTTCCTGCAAGACGACTTGCCTCGTGTTCGGGTCCTCTCTTACGGATATGACGCCGATACGCACAGTCGAGAATGTGTATCAACCGAGACCATACATCGGCACGGTGATAAACTAGTCATGGCTCTTTCACGCGAGCGTAAAGACGCTTCTCGAGTGAGCGAATCTTGCTAGTTTGATGGTGTCTGATGAACCATCATTAGCGGCCAATCATTTTCCTCGCGCACGATGTGGGAGGTATTATCCTCAAATGGGTTCGTATGAACAAGGCTCGATACAAATGGAGCACTGACGTCCTTGTAGGCACTCGTAATCTGCAACAATAAGGACCAGGATTCAGATGGAAATCTCCGAGATATTCTGGTATCTACATACTCCATCCTGTTCTTCGGGACACCCCATTTTGGCGTAGAAGATCCTCTCCCCGGGACAACTGATCGCCTTCTATCAATACCCATGTATACGACAAATGTCATTCTCAAAGTCCTTCAGCCATACTCACCCGAGCTCGAAAACATACAGAAGCTTTATCTCGAGGTGAGCAAGAAAGTAAAAAACGTATTCTTCTACGCGGAATACGAGGCTCTTGTCGGAAATCGTCGAAGGAGGCTGGTCAGTATCAAAAGTCTGGAGAACGTGTTGGGCTAAATAGACCACAGAACGTTCGAGCTCACTCGGCAGTCATCCCGGGTGACCGCAGTGCCGTATGGGAGGTACTACACAGTGACCATCAAACCTTAGTCAAATTCTCTTCTCGAGATAGTGACAACTACAAGACGGTGCTTTTCTATCTCAAGGAACATTTCGCAAAAGCTTCACGTGCAGTAGACGACAAGTGGCTCGGTTTGTAACCGCTTAACACTCGAAACGTTTTCTGATCTCACAGGTAGATGCCATGAGACAGGACCCCCTCAAAGCAGTTTCTGAGATTTCTCATCTATTCTTTGAGGAAACCATGGTACGGCATGCTTGATGTCACTACGAAGTTTCAATCTGATTATGCCGTAGACTATAAACGAGAAGACTAAAGAGTACAAAGTACTCAGGGATAGTCTTGAAGCACATATATCCATCTTGGATGAAGGATATCTCCAGACAGTCAAGGATGGACATATGGACCAAATGCCTGACGCGCTCAAGGAGTTCAACGATGCATGGAAACATTACATTGTGTACGGTCATGAGTCGAGCTTTTGAATGTTTGGCTGATATTGTGTAGCACTCTAAGAAACATACTCGCCAGAATGGATGGGTTGAAGCGCAGTAGAGATCAAGGCGTCAAAGGATCTATCGAAAAGATCAAGGGCGCCAAATTTGACACAGGAGATATTGCAGACTACAAACAGGAAATCTTACAAGCGACACGCATATGCAAGGTACGAGTACCCGGTGAAGCCAGGTTTGTATTGAGCTATTTGCAATAGGATGCGGCCAATTTCTGTCAAAATCAGCTGCAAGCGGAAGGTTAGTTTGATTACATCAATCTCCGACTCATAGTGATTCTCGACAGTGTGGAAAGTAGCCCGACTCGAGCCCGAAAAGCCTCGTCCAATGGGCACTCAGCACAAGACGTGTCTACCAGGTACACGTATAGCGATTCTGCGGGAAATTCGGCAATGGCGTCTGGACCCCAATGCAGACAAGTGCATCTTTTGGCTCTGTGACGTTGGTGGGTCTGGAAAGTCTACAGTCGCGTTGACAATGTGCGAGGAATGGGATAATACCGAAGGTGTTCTGGTTGGTCGGTTCTTCTTTTCGAAGAACGCTCGTCAGACGTCGGAGACAGATGACTTTTGTCCTGTCATCGCAGATGATATCAGTGGTCAAAACAAGATGATCCTGAAGCAAATAAAGACGATCAAAGAAGAAGATCCCAATCTTCCCCGGCGAGGGCTACGCCATCAGTTCTCTAAGCTGATCGAAGAACCATTGCAGCTTGCAGGGACATATATTGTCCTTGTGATCGACGCAATGGATGAGTGCAAGGAGGAGATGCGGGGAGAATTGATCAAACTACTGGTTGAGAAGCTTTCATCAATGCCTAAACTCAAACTCTTTATAACGAGCCGGCCAGAGCCAGACATCACGGCGATACTCCAGGGTAGAGCGATTGTACGCGGAATGCATTTCAAGATGCACGGCAAAGAGCAGCAGTCCAACTTGGATGATATTAGGTCCTACGTCGACGTACATCTTGTCAAACTGCTTACCGCGCCTCAGCGCCAGCAGATTGTGGAACGCTCAAATGGACTTTTTATTTGGATCACGACAGCACATCTCGAGCTACGAGGGGCTCATGGTCCGGATGCACTTGGTGCAACTCTCAGATCCCTCTTGACGCGAGGCAAGGGTGGAGATATTAACCAGGTTTATACAAGCATCCTTCGTCGGCTACGACGAGAGACGTCCAGTGGCACTATACACAAGATTATGGGCACTCTCCTAACCTTGTTCGAACCAGTGTCGACAGAGGCTCTTGGGGAGATGACTGGGATCGCAGACTCTGAGCTAGAGCCGATCTTAGAGTCGATGCAGAGTGTATTTCGGGTGGATACTGTGGTAGAGTTTCTGCATCCAACGTTCCAAGAATACCTTCTCGGTCCACACAATGTGGATATGCCATTCAAGTCGACAGCAATGCAATCAGACTTGGCCGTATCTATCCTCAAAGTGCTTCAGGAGGATCTGAAGGAGGACATTTGCGGCATTTCCCTGCCAAACAAACCTTATCCAAAGACTGCAGACATCGTGGATCTGGATGAACGTCTAGAACAATTATGGGCTAGGTCTCCGGCACTACCTTATGCGGCAAAGTACTGGGGCTATCATGTGAGCACCGTTGTAACGGATGGACATGTTGCCCAGATGCTGCGAAGGTTTTTAGCAAGTCAAATTTTGTACCTCGTGGAGCTGTTAAGCTTGATGGATCATGTACATCTTATTCGAAATTTCGAGGAGATTCGGCGAAGTTGTGAATACCGAGGGTTGGGTGATGAGTCCGAGGTGAGCTAGTGCTACATATAATAAGTGTATTGACCGCAGTGACAATAGGTATGCCATGATACAGTTAGACTTGTCCAGAGGCATCAAGAAACACTAGAGAAGAGTGCGCTGGATATCTACTCTTCAGGGCTACTATTCCTCCCTCGAAAGTCACAACTGTGGACGATATACAAGAGCAAGTTTTCAGATCGACTACCAAGAATCATTGGAGGACCATCAGTGCATTGGCCCTCACACCAGACTTTGACTGGACATACCGATTCTGTCCAGTGTCTGGCCTTCTCGCCAGATGGGCGCCGTCTTGCGTCTGGATCTGGGGATGGCACTGTACGCCTGTGGGATGGGACCACCGGTGCAAGCCTTGGGACGCTTGAGGGACATACCGGTCCTGTCCAATGTCTGGCCTTCTCGCCAGATGGGCGCCGTCTTGCATCTGGATCTGGGATGGCACTGTACGCCTGTGGGATGGGACCACCGGTGCAAGCCTTGGGACGCTTGAGGGACATACCGGTTGGGTCCAATGTCTGGCCTTCTCGCCAGATGGGCGCCGTCTTGCATCTGGATCTGGGATGGCACTGTACGCCTGTGGGATGGGACCACCGGTGCAAGCCTTGGGACGCTTGAGGGACATACCGGAGAGGTCTCGTGTCTGGCCTTCTCGCCAGATGGGCGCCGTCTTGCATCTGGATCTGGGATGGCACTGTACGCCTGTGGGATGGGACCACCGGTGCAAGCCTTGGGACGCTTGAGGGACATACCGATTGGGTCCAGTGTCTGGCCTTCTCGCCAGATGGGCGCCGTCTTGCATCTGGATCTTGGATGGCACTGTACGCCTGTGGGATGGGACCACCGGTGCAAGCCTTGGGACGCTTGAGGGACATACCAATTGGGTCCAGTGTCTGGCCTTCTCGCCAGATGGGCGCCGTCTTGCATCTGGATCTGGGGATCGCACTGTACGCCTGTGGGATGGGACCACCGGTGCAAGCCTTGGGACGCTTGAGGGACATACCGGAGAGGTCTCGTGTCTGGCCTTCTCGCCAGATGGGCGCCGTCTTGCATCTGGATCTCAGGATCGCACTGTACGCCTGTGGGATGGGACCACCGGTGCAAGCCTTGGGACGCTTGAGGGACATACCGGAGGGTCTCGTGTCTGGCCTTCTCGCCAGATGGGCGCCGTCTTGCATCTGGATCTGGGATGGCACTGTACGCCTGTGGGATGGGACCACCGGTGCAAGCCTTGGGACGCTTGAGGGACATACCAGTGAGGTCTCGTGTCTGGCCTTCTCGCCAGATGGGCGCCGTCTTGCATCTGGATCTGGGGATCGCACTGTACGCCTGTGGGATGGGACCACCGGTGCAAGCCTTGGGACGCTTGAGGGACATACCAGTCCTGTCCAGTGTCTGGCCTTCTCGCCAGATGGGCGCCGTCTTGCATCTGGATCTGGGGATGGCACTGTACGCCTGTGGGATGGGACCACCGGTGCAAGCCTTGGGACGCTTGAGGGACATACCAGGGTCCAGTGTCTGGCCTTCTCGCCAGATGGGCGCCGTCTTGCATCTGGATCTTGGGATGGCACTGTACGCCTGTGGGATGGGACCACCGGTGCAAGCCTTGGGACGCTTGAGGGACATACCAGTCCTGTCCAGTGTCTGGCCTTCTCGCCAGATGGGCGCCATCTTGCATCTGGATCTGGGGATGGCACTGTACGCCTGTGGGATGGGACCACCGGTGCAAGCCTTGGGACGCTTGAGGGACATACCAGTTGGGTCCAGTGTCTGGCCTTCTCGCCAGATGGGCACCGTCTTGCATCTGGATCTCGGGATCGCACTGTACGCCTGTGGGATATCACCACCCCACCCAGTTTGGAACCTCCTTATGCACTCAATCATGCTCCCAGGCATTTATATTTCTTCCAAGGTGGACATTTCTTACATGTGGACAATGGACCAGTACTCAATGTCTCCCACAATCGCCTTCAGTCACTCTCATCTCCATGTCCAAGTGTCACGCCCAGCCATGAGCATTCCACAGTAGCTGTTGACTACACCAGTCAGGAGCTGTGGTCTGTTTGTTGTCCATACCGTAGATATCGGATCCCTGATGAGTTTCGGCTGAGGTGCTCCACCAAATCCCAAGATAAAATCGCCCTAGGTCTGCAGAATGGACAGGTCATGGTCATTGATTTTGCAAAATTTTCTGACCCACATACCCAATTGTAACCAATTCACAATGTGTTCCAAATCACAAACCTTGAATGCAAATCCATCTGAACTCCAGATGATAACTAAATGTTATCCAATTTTTAGACTGTCTATGTGGTAGTGGTCAGGGTAATAATTGCAGCAGTCTGCCTCAGCATGATAGTCCTGGTTCAACCAGCTAAATAACCCACACTGTACCAACCCGGCCCCCCTATTTCCCCCCAAGGGAGAACAGAGGCCTTATATACCTGTTGATTATTAATGTTGGAATGTTCTAGAATATTCTCAAGAATACTAGTTAGAAAGGCCTGACTAATCTCTGCGGCTCTGCTTACAAATGGCAGCTGCATGTGATTACAACAATGACTCATCTGTGCATCATTTGGCTAGAAATATTACCACCAAAGCCACAATTGTGCTCACATTGTGATCTAATGTATAGCAAGGATTTGTTGATACAAGGATGTGTGAGTTGTTATCAGATACAAATTGTAGAGCCTTAGGCAAACTTAGTCTCTGAATAAAATGTATCTTTAGATAAGCTGGGATACACTCTTTTGGCTTGAGGGTCAAGCTCTTGAGGTAAACTACAAGGTCTTGAGAAGGACCTGAGGCATGCTAGAGGGTCAGGCTCTTCAGCTTCTTCCATCTTGATGGCTGTAGAGTCATACTCCTCTTCATATTCATCCTCATCTTCATATAATGTATTGTCAAACTTGATCCTGAAAGGAGAAGTATGAGGAGGCTCATTAGAATCCTGAATAAATTCATCTAGGTCAGATGCGTATTGATCCCAACGCCTAGTGCATTCAGGATCACTAAGAGGCTCATAAGAGCGACCTGCATGCATTGAAGAACTTCCTAGATTAATTCTGTTATAATTCTCTGAGCAATTCTCCTTTCCCCAAGTGGGCCTCCGTGCTCTGATAGAGCTCATATTGCGATATATTGATCCAAGTATTTAATTACACAAGTATATTACTTGGGAAAATTCGTGTGCACACAGTGCTGTCAGTAAGAAGACTATCTTAAGTACTCACTATGAAGATTCTGATCGCTAGGTAAGTTCAAACTATCTAGTTGGCGTACTAGTAGTCTCAGTCTGGCTGCTGAGTGTGAACTTAGGTAGAGATACTAATGATCTGACACAGGGAATAATTGTAAAATAAATCTTGTTCGTACTAGACATGTTTCTACAGGCCTTATATACCTATTCTAAGTGGCAGTGAGACTGTGCCCACAGTTACACAGTGTACTGTGCACACAGTTCGCAGTACCTTGTCTAGACTGTGCCCACAGCTGGAGCACTGTGAGCCCAGTTACATTACTAAGCTTGACATGAGATGAGATTGAAGGATGACAAGTGTATTTGGGCATGAGTTC